ATGATTTACTAAGGAACTGGCATGGTGCAGGGTCGGATCCAGGAAAATTGTACCTTATGGTACGGTTTAGAACTATGCTTCAGTTAGTCAAAATACCTGTTTCAAGAGGAGAATATTAGTTTGATTTTTTTTCGCAAACCGAAGGGAGGATCAGGACCCCCTGACTCCCACTAAATCCGCCACTGTAATAGATATCCTTGTTAATGTACAAATGATCCATCTACAGTTATATCTACTCATATTATACTATATATTTAATATAATATGTCGCAGTGGCAAACTAATGAATCTAGACATTTATGTCAATCCAGTGGATAAATATTTTTATTAAATAAACCAATCACTTATTTTACTACTAACTATTATAATTTAAAAAAAATGAAAGTCGCTTTGCCTTTTGTTGATGCTATTCATTTCTTTGTAAAAAATCACAATACTCACAGAATAGTTTCTATGAAATCGCTGATTTCTTCAGTTTTTGGCATAGCTAGCGTCGCCCCGTCAGCGGTATTAGCGCATGTGTAATTTGCATCACTGAAAGACCGTTCTTGGGAAAAGTATCTGAAACACTTTGGAATGCCGTTCACAAAGTTCCAAGCACATCCACCTGTAAGAGGTACCATTGCATTCATTTTCTATTCATTCATTTAGGAATGAATTATTGAAATGATTTTAATTCATCATTCTGCATTAAGAACTTATGTATACATAAGGTAGTCAAAAAAGAGAGTTCACGTTAGACCTTAGAATAAATAAATAAATAAATAAATAAATAAACAAATAAATAAATAAATAGGTAGATGTCCTGGAAATTTCACCATGTTTATTATTTCCAAACCTTTGCTTTAATTTAAGAACCTTTGAGAATAATTTTCAGTCACATTTGAAATGAACTGGTTTCTATTTCCATAACGAAATGGACGAGAGCATTGTCTACTTTGAATGGGTTGCAATTCTGTTCAGGCTATGATATGCACGTACCATGCAGGTGTCTTGTCTTATAATGAAAACTGTTGAAATTTCCAGGAATTTTTTTAATGTTTGCTATGTAAAGGTCTAACACTCATTGCCCGCCTCGGTGGGCTTGCCCTAGTATACATGTATATCTGAACTTCTGGTAAAAGTTTTAGAACGATATACTAAAATTTAACATTACCTCTTGGAACTAACCTGAAACGTGCTTTATACTCAGCAACAAGAGCAGACTGGCGACCAGCGCAGTATTCATCTGTAATATTTATAAGTAGTTAGTTTAGCTACAATGGCGTATCTAGAGTTTTGTTAAGGTTGGGAGGCGGTGAACAAGGACAAAAAGGTTTATAAACTAATAATTAAAAAAAAGACAACTTTTCTGTAATATATATACGGACCAGGAACGGGGAATTTTCTTGTTTTCTCGTATTGCTCCTTATGCTATATTGGAGGGAGTGAGAGGGGGGTATCTCAAAAGATACGGCCGCTATACTCTCCCCTGAATATTCCAGTGTACTAGCACAATTATTAGTGTTTGCAGCTACAAGATAAAAACAAACAAAACTATTTTTAAAGAAAAAAAGAAATGAATCTCTTTGCACGTCTAGTACCAGATTCTTTTTTTTTCTTCTTGTCATATCACTCTACTGAATGAATCAGAACGCCCTATCTCAAAATTATTCATTCGTAGAAACGCTTTTAGTGAATTAAAAGGGCGAAGGAAGCGCTTAGGAGCAAAATAAAACATTGCAATACGTTTTCTGGAGAAATAAATCACACCAATGGTCCCCTCTTGGAATTTGAATTTTGACTAGGTGAATTCTAGTTCTAAATAATTCCAAATGGCACCGTTTGCCCATAAAACACCAACATTTCTCGGGGCCTTTCATCGGACCCCAAACCTTACGCCAAGGGGGCAAGGGTCGCCTTCGCATCCGAGTCCTGTCATTCCCAAAAAGATCGGACCCCCCTTTCAAAGAATCCTCGATCCGCCCCTTTTACAGTTCCGTTTACCGTATTTTGATGCGACTTCCAGCAGCAGTCTTCGTATCGTTCAGTCCGTACGTATAAAAATTGATCGTTTTCCTTTTTTCCACTAATAACAATTTGTATCTCTTTCCATGGCATAAAATTTTCTCTTGGTTTTTAAATTGTTTTCTTGCACGGAATGGTATGAAGTCTAGAAAAAAGCACCCAACATGGTGTGCCCACCTTAATGTTTTAACTTAATATCACATATTCTTCTTCACAAAACAGAATGCCACAGTGAAAAGGAAGACGCAATTGAACTGATATTAATTTCAATCAATAAACTCAACACTCTGTTATTATTTTTTTAAGATTAAAGATGGCCGCCAACGTGATTATTTTCAGAGTGAACTAAGCATTAATGTTTGGTTTCAACTACAGAAATAATGAAGATTGTTTATTCAAAGACGACGTTTGATCTGCTCATCAATTGTGCTGTCTGATAAACAATGTCGGGATCAATACCCAGGCTGCCACAATTTAGAGGTCGATCAATACGCCCGGGCGCGTTCGCAATAAGGGACAAGGCAATCAAATTGATACTTTTGAGGCAAACAATTAAACACGCATTCAGAGCATTGAGTAAAAATTAATGACTGCAAGCGTTTGTGACACTTTCATGAGTACTCACAAAAACATAGACCATTAAAGAAAACTATGTGAAAAAAAAAAAGAAATTAGAAAGAAGTATTGGAAAAGTCTTACTCGTTAAGGATAACAAACGACACATATGTAGGCCTAATGCCAGAAAAACTAAAAGTTAAGGGAAAGTGGGAAAGTACAAAGGGCAAGAACAAATAGCAAGTTCGTTTTCATGAACGTGTCTCATCCTTTCTTTAATCCATAACTCTCTTCTTACCAACACCATAAAAAACAACATGGTAAGAAGTGGGACCAAATGTACAATATCCACCTCCGACTGATAAATTAAAATAATGTTGAAAATCGTGTTTTAATAACTTTTAATTATCTCTTTGATGCCATTGTGACATCAGTTCATTAATTAAATTCGCCAGTGAAGCAAACAAAAATACATTGCATATTCCATGCGATACGACAACCATTAAAAGAGATAATTTGGATCTCCATATTTTCCAAATTATCGTCTGTAAAAGAGTTACGCGGTCTGCAAAGGACCTTCAGTATCTAGTCACAGCAATGGTCGCTGAACATTACGTCTGAGCTCTTCTGGCTGCTACCAGGGCTCTCAAGCGGCAAGGCATTCATTGGGATAGGTTTTTATAGAGTTCAATCTGGAATAACATAACGCAAAGTTTATAAACCTTTTTATCTCTAGCGGTAAAATTAACCGAACCTGTCCACTTTGAGAAATTGAAAACTTTATTATTATTATTATTAGTAGTAGTAGTAGTAGTAGTAGTAGTAGTAGTAGTAGTAGTAGTTGTAGTAGCAGGAGTAGTAGAAGTAGTAGTAGTAGTAGTAGTAGTAGTACATGTATAGTAGCAGTATAACAACAAATATGCAGCACAAAATCTAAAAATTCTAAAAGGTAATTACTAATTTTTAAAGTATTCAAAATGATTTGGTATGTGTGATACATGTGATATACAGAGCAGAGCGAATTTAGCAAGGACAATGGCGCAGTGCAAGTGTAAGAATAGTTTTTCGGTCAAAAAATCTATTTGCCTTCCAGCGATAAGAAAAATAAATATTCATATAATTGTAGTTTTACATGGTCTATTGATTTCAAAAAGACATTCAAATGCATTTTCTTTATTTATCTGTTATCAGTATGTTCAGATCAATTGTTACCAAAAATATAAATTAACACAAATGACAAAACAATTTGAAATGTTTAATTCTGCTTCGTTTCTTCCTTTTCCGCTATAACATGCGACAAAAGATACGTAAATATTTGTTAGAGGGAAATTTCTTCTGGCTCCGCTTTCTTATCGACGTTTGGAAGAATGACGGCGTTTCAGAATGAGCTAGCAACTCTTTATTCCGAAGAGAAAAAGTGAATCAATTTAACATGCACTTAATGTTCATTGATTATTGTATGAAAAATTCACTTAAGGTTTTTATTATCGCACACGTCACACGAACACTACGTTTTCTGTAGGAGCTAATGGTGCATGTACACTGTACATGTGGACCGCCAAAATGGTAACGTTGCCAAAATAGTTCCGCTCCTGATGTATATACAATTCATGACTGCAAAATAAAAATTCGCTATAAAGCATTTTCAGAGAGGACACCAAAATAATTATTTGTGGTTTTGAGGGATAGATTACTTTGGCGATATAATTTTTGATCTTTTTTCAACCATGAAACCGACTATTGGCACGGCTGCATACGCGGAGAGCGCGGAACATTTTGTCATGTTACTCCCTCGTTTTTCACTACTCTACAAATTAGGCCTATATTACGGTCATATCTTGATTCATGCACATGACTCAAGCCTAGATTACAGTTGCCAAATACACCGTATGATAATAATTCTCTTCAACTGACATCGTTAGTAAATGGCGAGTACCTTTACATTACGTGCCAGTGCCTCTCCTATACTGAGCCATGACTTTGAGGTCACATTGGGAAAAATCAGTTCATGGTTGTCGGTTGAAAAACGATCGCACGGAGCCCTTTCAGTTTTAAGTGAAGTTCCCTTACGTCTTCCGTGCGGCTTCCTTGAAGATCAATACTGTCAATAGCCCCATACGATTTTAAGCACCCATTTGGCTTAAGTAAAGTAACGCAAAACTTCCATGTTTACGCAACTGGATTACTCCAAATTTTAAACACCACTGTCTCACGAAAAGGGATTTACGAACAGTGTACGAGCACCGCACGCACAACGCATGGCAAATGTAACCTAGGCTTTAGGTATGTTGTGGAATAAAACCTGCTGCTTACATCATTTTCACCATCCGTTCCTATTTTGGCATAAAAAATGCACAGGCACTGTACCTTTCTAGAGTAATTCACAAACAAGCAAAAGACACGTAAAGTTTTAATATTTTATTAATATCTTTTAAATATCAACAATTGTAGCATTTTACTGATCAATCTTCTTAAAAAATCATTAACAAATCTGCATCTTGGCATCCGCATCAGGCTACGTATAGTAAATCGAACAGATCTTTTGCTGACAAGCTATTAAAACATGCCAATTCCAACATCTTAATACAAATCTCACTGCCAGAACATCATGCAAATATTTGTGATAAAACGAATTAAGAAATATCATTCTGTTTTTCCCCTATTTCAGATCCTTTCAGAATCAGAATTCTCCCAAGTCGTTTTGAACCAGTATATATCAGATAATCCGTCTCAAAGAAACTTTGACTGTCAACATACGGTAAAAATTGAAATGCTTCTATATCGCAAGAACTGAAGTTCATTAATCAGTAAAATCTATGTATCAAAGTAAATCTTATACAATGCGATACATTTAAATGTGCGTGACAAAGTTTACAAAAAAGAATAAATTCTACCAAGACACACACTTTAGTGTCAAGGGTACAAGTGGGTATGAACTGGGGACACTATACACTGTATTTCATATATATCAATAACATATCATATAGCAAAATAACATAAAACTAAACATAAAATATACAAAACTAAAAATTAAGTCGATTTTGTTTGTAAAAGCTAGGAATAACTTGTTCATTATGCGTGTTCATCATTTGTAAATAATATACTAACATGATTTACATGAGTACATTACACAAGTCTTTCTCTCTTTTTCTCACCCTTACAAATAACTGGCTCCAAAAACTTGATGTAACACACAAGTCAATATGTCAAATATGTCAAACTTTGATAAAATGCCATTTTCCTACATGCATGTCAAATCAGCAAGTCTGCTTGGGCAGAACAGTCCACATGCACATGAAATTCTTACAAAAATAATACCTATCACAACAAACCCATAATTTTAGCAAACTGCTGCAAAATCAAAATCGCTTTGCATTACATTTTGTAATATTTGTTACATAAAACAATGGCATGCAAGAAGACAGTTAAGTACAAACTGATAACTGGGTATCATTCAAGAGACCAGCTCAAGATCATAAAATTCTGTAGTGATGCGAATACACAAGTTATAAGCACAAAAAATATGTTCTCTCTTCTCATTGTCAGAGAGCATAGCTAAGATTGTCAACAGATGGCATCCATGTATACTACCACCAAATACTTTTTTTCAAGACAATCTAAAACATCATCATGTCATATTACATGAAAATGTCCATCAGGCACAGGATATTCTTCACTAGAGCAGCTATATCTGGAAGATATCTCAACAGACACACTGACGACTGTACAACAGCGCTCTCTATAATCCATCACAAGACTACACCAGTGACACCTATTTTTAAGAGAGCAAACAAAAGTAAGGAACCCTGCATAAAATAGCTCTGGTGCATCTTGAGGCTCCATGATCCAGATGTAGACTTTAATGTCCTTTCTTTGAAGTTATGTTCTGTGTCATATTTGTCCTTCTTTTCTTTATTATTCATGTGAGAATTATGCTCTTCCTCTTGCGCAGATGGTTCTGGAAATAATAGCACAGAAGATGCATATATTAGATGCACATACTCACTGTTTGCACTGCTTTAAGAATAACCAAGCCCTTCGTGGGAGGCAAACTTTTCATTATGTGATGAAATGTCTCTGTATGACCTAAAACCCACCTTGGAGTTGAGTATTAAAATTCAAGACGGGAGTGGTAAAACTGATCTTCTGGGCTGGCCCTGCCCCCACTGTGGACAGCACCTGTACCTGGACCACGTACACTGTCCCTTCGTCTAGGTCAGCCAGACTGAGCTCAAAAGTTGCCTGAAAAAGTTTTAAGTTCCTGACATTTACCCGACAGGTACATTTTTATCATAACCTGGTGGAAATAATCGTTGATATCTTAACTGCTTATCAAACTTTAAGTTCTCATCAAGCAATTACTGAAAGGTGTGGGGGGGGGGCAAGAAAGAAAGAGAGACAAAGCAACAGACAGAAAGAGGGGGGCAAGAGAAAAAGAGGGAAGAGGGGGAAACAAAGAGAGGGGAGGGGGAAGCAAGAGAGAGAGTGCTTCAATACCTCAAGGTCTTCAGGTATCGACACAGCCACTGTTGCACCAGTCATCGTGGAACTCGACCCCTGACCTTCAGATGACCCTGACCTTTGACCCCAACTGACCTGAAACCCTGTAATGCTATGATATGCATCTTCTGGGGCAGGGGCAGGAAGTTTCCAGGTCAAATGGGCAGTAATGTTGCCGTCTGTGATAATGAAGCTGTGCTGGAGCTCTTTTGGCTTGGGAGGTAGAACAGGTTCTAAAAATTAGAATAATAACAATTACTGCAACATGTCTACCAATAATGCTAGGTAACAGACTGGTTTTTGAATCATAAAACATCATAGCTAAGAATTAAACTCTTTTTACAGAATTAAACTCTTTTTAATCCAAGCTTTACCATGACAAAGAAAAGTTTTTACAAACTGGGGAAAAAAACATTATACTGTGCAACATTTCCGTAGACTTTCCTGTTATTTTCCCCACTTACTTTCAACAATCACTGTCACTGTGCCCGTGGCAACCTGACCCCGATGGTTCTGCGCACTGCAGACATACACCCCAGAGTCCTCTGCTGAGAGGCTCAATATGTGAAGAGCACCATCTAGTAGCTGTAAATTGTACAAAAGTGTATATTTCCATGTGATTATATAAAACCTTCCATCAATTAAACTGTCCCCTCCTGAAATAAGGATTTGGAAAAATCAGTTTCTGAATAATAGTTCTAAACCATACCAAAAGGCACCATTCACCCTGTAAACTACCTTTTTTTTTTCGGGGCCTTTAGCCCCGCAGCCCACGCCAAGAAGGGGGGGGGGGGGTTCGACTTTTCATTAACAGCCTGTCATTCCTAAAAAAACGGACCCCACCCCTTCAAATAACCCTTGATCGGTCCCTGCATTGTATTACAATTTAAGATTGAATTTTTTTTTCAACATTTTTTCTTTTTTTTTTGTCCGACTCTCCTTCTTACCCTGTGATTGGAGGCGGTCAGTTCTTCACCATCTTTCCTACTCCAACTTAAAGCTGGAGCTTCCATCCCGATAACGTTACACCTCAATATGGCGGATGTTCCCTCCATACCTCTCACAGTCTCTGTCTCCATGGTAACCTGAGGAGCTGTGAAGAAAAAAATACAATAATTACTCAGTAAATTTGAGCAAAATGATTCTTATTCCTTTTCATTAATTCAAAATCTGAAAAAAAGTACATTTTTGAATGCCCGAAAATAATAAACCTTGAAGGAGTAAAGTTGCAAAATTAATACAGATGTTTCAAACAACAGTTGAACTTCTGACACTAAAAAATTGTAAAATTAAAACTGTGGTTATAACTTCAGTAAATAGTTGGTAGTTTTGTCTCCAAATGCACAAAGAACAAAATCTTATGATAAAGGAAAAATTACAGATAATCCCAGGAATAGATTTTTTATTATTAAAAAGTATAAAATGCCTTAGTTGAAAGTTTTTTTACATTAAAAATTAGACCATAGTGTACCTGGTGTTGCCGGGCAGTTGGGGGCTATATCCCCCTTCACTTTCACTGAATGGCAAGATGGGGTGTAAAACCTGGCTGTTGTAACAGTGCTCTGCCTTCCCTCTGCAGAGACACTCCGTACCATCACCTCATAATGGCAACTGTATTCCAGGTCATAGAGAGTAAACAATGTGTCCTGCACAGAAAGGAAACCCAGGAATTTTACAAAAATATATAAATATATTGTTTTTTAAATATCATATATCTGTCATGAGTCAATTAAAAATTCTTTGAACTCAAGTTTAGTTTGTCATGAAGAACCTTGGCTTGATATATCATTTTTATCAAATTATTTCCAGACAAAAAGACATCTGAGAAAGGGACTGAGGTGATTTTTTCACTTACATGTGTTGTAGCACCTTTCTTTATTGCTTCTGTCTGTGGCTCATCTTGACACACAAGCGCCACCCAGTGGACTGTGTACTTCTGCACCAAGACAAAATCTAAATACAAGTAAATTCCTGTCAGATGATTAGACTATTAGCCTTCAAGAGTTAAACCAGCAATGTCTATTTTGAATATTTCGTTTGTTTTCTCGTCAGTGTAAAATGTACTTGACATTTTGTACAATAAATTTTTGAGTCCAATGTAGTTCTTGAATCATGGTGTTAAAGACTAAATGCAATATATTTGTAACTTGGGTATATGCCAGAATGCATGTTTTTGCAAACTAGGTGAAAGTGAAAAATCTTTAAAAGATTAACTTGAAATAAAAAGAGGACCTGTAAATCAAATTGAAGGAGAAAAGACCATGCTGCTATCATAGAAATGAACACAATTCATCTGTGCTACAGCCATGTGTTATCAATACGCAAAAGTTATGACAAGTTTTTCACAATTAAACTGCATTGTATTGTGCTTTCAGGACCAGAAGACATGTTCAACATTACGTTCATCATCTAGTTAATGATCAAAGAAAATCTCTCAACTAGATTTGACATTTTTTAAAATTAAGTTCTCCATTTATTATTATTATTGATATTTTTTATCTAATAATTTTTTTTATTCAAATTCAATCTGACCTGCAGGGGTTGCAGTGGTCAGCCAGGTGACCTTTGCCCTTAGTTGGCCTTCAGAAAAATACACCTCTGGCACAGTGAGGTTCAGTACTGTAGGGGGCATTGGTAGGTCAAGATAAGCCATGTCAAAGACAGTGGGACGTTCTGAAACTAAAAGAAACAATGGGTATTTTTAATGATTTGACAATTTCTTGATCACCAATGTTTCAGGATTTCAATGGTCTTTAGCCCTTAAATAAAAAATTTAACAAGGAAATAGCATGGCTTTCAAAATAAGACAAATATGATGACTTTTTAGTCAAAAACTTTTGAAATAGTTTTAAGATCCACGTACTAGTAAATCTACTAAGTGAAATGATGATTAACTAGTAAGAGAGAACTTTCTTCAATGTGACCATACCAAAAGCCAGTAAAACTAAAACCAGCCCAGTAAAATTATGCAAAATTAATGTGTTCATTATTGACAACTGCTTCAAATTTCAGATAGTTGTTTCTAAGACCCTAGCAGTTTGCAGCACCAATAAGCTTAATAGAGCACAGACAAGATGATAAATTAAAGGAACAAACATTTTATTTTCAGGACTTACCAGGTGGTGCTGTAGGTATTGCATAGGTAGTGATATAGAAAGACCTCCTCCGGCTCCTCAGCTTTTTGCGACCATAGCGACATATTGCTTGCACCTGTAGACAAAAGATAAAGAAAAAGACAGATGTCAAAAAGTAAATCCAATAGCTCTCTTTTTCTCTGGAGGTGACAAGTTCATTGAAGCTATTAAATGCCTTAAATGATGTAGTGACCATGTACAAAATCAAACTGCTATGTATTATATTTCTACAAATTAATATAATATTAGTTATACATTGTACTAATGGCATAACTTCAGCATACATCCACCAATATTATGGTACATGCTGTTATTACAGTTACTGATGTTTTGTACTACCATGTGAAAGATAAATAGCCAAGGTAAAGGATGGGAAATGCTGGATGGGAAATATTTTCTCATCTCATCTAATACAATTTCTCTGAATAGCACTCTTTGGTCCAATTCTACAACATATCAAAGTTGCTTTGACTTTAAAATTGCAAAAATTACTGTCTTTTAAACCTTGATAAAAGCCACAAAATGGAGAAAAGTGTCTAAAATTATCAGCTACAAAAAGAAATGAATAAATAAATTATACTTTCAAAAGTGTCAGTCTTAACAGTGAGATCATTAAAGGAGTAATCAAGTTTTGACAGTTCTTTTTCGAAATATAAACCATCTCAAACATACCTCAACAAAATATGTGGTGTCTGGTTTGAGATTTTTGATTGTGTAGCTGTTTTGATTCTGGAAATAATGAAAGATGAAAATAATATATAACATTGCTATAAATGAATTTACAGTGCAACTGAATCAATATCCTGTTTACAAAATTCAAATAACTGTAAGCAAAACTGGGGAAGATTTCGGTATAATATAGTTTTCATACAGGATAGATTTAAGGCATAAACAAAATTTATCATTCATTTAATCAATCATATGTTTCCTGGTGATTTTTACATGCAATAGATCCATACTGTGGTTGTGTATGCTACATGGAGGAATTACCCTAATAAATCATGATCTGCTACACTGATTACTTACCCCTGAGACAGACTGCCTGTGTTCTTTCAGAGAAACAAACACAGGGCTTATACTACTGAGTCTCTCACTCCAAAATACCTGAAAGTAAAAAGTTGAATGGCATTAAAAAGGAATGCTTTGGTGACTATGATGTATGATCAATGGAGAAAGCCTGGAGAAGTTCCAACTCCTTTCTGTTCGAGAATGAAGCTATATGTAGTCAGTTGTTGGTACCACAAAAGACACAAGCATTTTTTTTCAAATTTATATTAAAATTCAGAAAAAAAAGATGGCAGTACCCTGTATCTTATAATTGGAAGGTCAGAAGTCAGTGGTGGTAGCCATTTTATTTCAACATCAATTTTCCCATCATGCACTGTGGTACTTCCTTCGGTAAGGTTGACTGGTTGTGAAGGCGGCTGTGGAACTGCAATAAAACAAAGACCTAAAATATTGTTCATGTTGCTAACAGTTAAAATATGTTTATTAATGCAGGTAGCATAGGGTAAAAACATGATTGGCTGCATGGTACAACACTGTTTTTGCTTTTAATTATGAGATTTAAAAATCCATATTTCTTTTCTAAAGTAACTGAGAGAGAATTACAGATTTTAGAAAAAACAAAATTGAATATTACACAAACTGTTGGATCTTGATAATTTTAATAAGAAAATATATTTCTAATCTGATTACAATTTTAAAGAATTAAAATCATTCATAGCTTATTCGAGTAATATAACTCTGTTTCACCTCTGCTGAGCCTCAATGCCTTGGACCCGGAACTGAATCCCACACTGCCATTGGTGCTCACCGTGGCAACTCGGAACTCGTACCAGTAACCGAGAATTGCATCGTCTATGTTGGCACTGTACTGAGTGGTCTGTTAGGAAAGGAATATATTGTCACTTATGTATTGTTAATAATTTATACAATGCTTGGTATGGGGAACAGCTTTTGATTATGGGGCATGAGGGGAGGAGACTATTTGAATCCACTGCATACATTATCACAGTGACTACGACCAACTTTTTTTATTGGATGCCTGGCACCAGAAATTTCCACATGTGATCTGCTGCACTAATATTCACTGCAACAAGTTAACTTAGATATTTTATTGTATGCAAAAATACTAGATCACAGAAAAACACTTCAGCATATAAATACCCAAATTGAAATATGTTCACATATTAAATGACCTGATAAGAGACAATCAAAATCTTCCATAATTGAGCAATGTTGCTGATATGACCATTATTTTAACATCTTTATTTGACATCTCTATTTGAGCAATCAAGGATGACAAGAAGTTCTCCCACTTGCACTTGGTGAAAATTTTTGGTAAACATGGAGTTACCTGTTTCACAGTTTCCCACTCGGTCCACAAAGCCTCCTTCCCCTTCTCCCCTGGGTTCTGGCGAGACTGCAGTACGTGGACCAAGGGTACAGAGTGCCTCTGCGGGGCGCTGGGCTTCCAGGTTACCACCACCCTGTTGTTCACTGTCAGCTCCTGGATCCTCTTGATATATGGTCTTGCTGGCAACCCTGAAGTGAAATGTTGCATCTTTAGCAATAAGAGAAGGGGTTAAGATCTTACCCCTGGAAACCCTGAAGTGAAAAAATTTTGTCTGAAGCAAAAGGAGGAAGAAAAAGTGGGTAAAGATCTTAACTTTATGGCAACATGTTTTTTTTTAAATAAATTGTGATAGGTAAATCTATATTTCAATTCAATTCAATTGAGTATATTGTAGTTAAAGGCCTCTGACAATATGCTCCCATTGTTCTTATCAGACATAGGTACTGGCAGGGTTAACTGTTAACCATATGATTGTGTACTAGCATCCATGCAACAATCTATTATCTGTCTGTCTGTCTGTCTGTTCGTCCCCCCCTTACATCCTTCTGCCCTCTCATCATCCATTTAACCACCTATCCATCTACCTATCTCCTTACTATTTTCCTCTCCTTTTGCCTTCTGACAAGTGTGTCCGCAGCCGTTGTCGCAACACTTGTCATCTCTGGCCGGACAACTGGCATCTGTGGTGCATGCCTCCACGCACACGGCTGCGAAACCGACAGCCTCTTCTGCTGGAGGACACAACCCTGGCCTGTTGGTCTTGATGTCGTCCAGAAATAAGCAGGAATTTAGGCAACTTTCATGATCCTTTTGGGGGGTGAGAAGAAATATTTATCATAAAAAGATTATAAAAAGAAATATTTATTCATTTCTATTGACCTATTCAGTACTAGCACATCTTTACAAACTTTAAGGTAAACCTTACGTTTGTATAGTTTTACACAGTACTTTTATAATGATCAAACAATTCTAAAATTATTTTCCTAAAGTAAGAATCTGGCCAGGTGATCTTCTGTGATCAAAATATAAAACTGGCCTTCAAGTGGGCAAACTTGCCATCACAAGACTGCCAGATTGGCAAGGTGAATAAAAGGTAACCTTTTAATCTGATAAGTTCTCATTTTCTAATTTCATCTTGTCCTAAAATCAAATCTAATTTTGCCTTTGACATTCTGATCTGTCAGGACAAACTTGCTTGACCATTTCAGCACAAGTGTACCTATGCTTCATGGGTAAAAATATTTAAATTCAGTCTCTATATAAATGTTGACTGTTTACTTTTTTACCATACTCTTTCTTGTTTATCATACCTGACACCTTGCTTTGCAGTCGTCTAAACCAGTATGAGTTTGGCCGCATGGTTTCAGACACTTGAAAGAAAAAATTCTTCAATTTAGATATAAAAACCTAGTATATACACTTGACAACACACTACAAAAATTTAATATTAACAATATAATTGTCAAAGCCGTGCATCTTTACATAGATTACTATGACTTCAGAACAAAACAAAATGGAAATTACCTTATCTAGTAATAAGACTAAAATAATGAATATAATAAATTGCTTGTGTTTTTATCATTTCAGTCAATTCTTTTGAATGTAAACTATTATTTTATATCTGCTTTCTCATATTGCTGAACATCTCAATGGCTGACCTATCAGCAATGTTTTTAAGATCTATATGATGCTGCTTTCCTACCTGAGAACAGGTGACATTTTCCTGACAACCTGTCAACGTCAAAGCACTAGGGTCCTGAAAGAATAATCAAAACAATCATGAATAAAAGTATTTGAGTACATTTATCTCCTTTAACTGTTTGCCTGTTATTAATAATAATAATAATAATAATAATAATAATAATAATAATAATAATAATAATAGTAATAATACAATGTGATGCAATAAATAGAGGCCTATGGTTAAACCTGAGTTTAAGAGGTTATTGGAAATGGTAGAGGTAAATGTATGCTGATAATAGTGGAAGAGATGGAAGGTGCCTGCAGGGACCCCTTGAAACTCAGGGTGTTACTGGCAGATTACGGACAAAATTTAGATGCATCTTAGCTCTATGAAAGATCAGTCAAATATCCTGAAAAAATAACATTTTCAATACATATACCACTAAACTTGAATATAAACTGTTCAAGTGATAATAACTCTTCGTTTCGGCCAAAAAATGAATTTTCCTGGAGGAAACAACAATTTTCTCATACTTACCAATGGTAAATGAATCCATTTTTACATTCAAAGTTAGTCCCTGGTTTTTTTTTTTTTTAAAGTTTGGTTATTTGTTAAAATCCCCTGAGCAATTTTAACAGAGTATATCCATCAATGGAGGTCACATGGTCTAAAGACAAGCTCAGATATATCAGAATAATAGCTATAACTGCGTTTTTGTGGTAAAATGCAATATGTTATATTTCTATGAGTTATTCACAATGTTTTTATTGTGAAATATAGATCTCATATGAAGAGTTATTATCCCTTTACTAGTAAGTATATCAAAAAGAATTTATGGATCTTTACAATGGAAATAACGCCCCACATTCTGCTCAAATTTTTGCCAATACCAGCTCTTATACAGCTATTTAAGGAGTTTGCAGTCAGTACAAGTTGCATGCTTCTCCTATTATATTTTGATGGAAGTAAGACGGGCAAGACTAAACTGTTTATTTCTTTTACTGGTAAGCGGACTCCTAGCAAAACAGAGCACCAGGGATCACACTCAAGTATGATGCCACACCAGAATCCACTTATAAGATAGTTAAAAGTAAGTTTAATTATTCCTCATTTCTCTCATCCTCACCTCCTCCACTCCCTCCCTCTACCCATCCCCCTATGTAATGACTGTGACTTTAGACACATGACAAAGTGTAAGTTTTTCAAGCGCTTGCCCATTAATTCTCTGCTTAAAATCTCATCATATTCACATTCAAATTTCCACCAAGCAAATAAATCAAAATGATATGGCAGCCATATTCTTATGTACAACCAGAAGCTAAGAACTGCTATTATATAAATCAACAGTTTGATGCAAGTTGGGAGGTAAACAGTGAGCAGGCCACCAATGTACAGTTCACGTCATTGCATCATTCGCTGCATATTTTCACACTCTACTGATGACCATGTCCGACTTTAAGAGCCCATCAAGGACTCTCATCAAGGCCAGAGTCCTTGAGACAGATTACCTAAAACAACCCACACCTTCAATTTGCTGAAAGTGTGAAGCACCAGAGATACCATCAAGTCAAGAACACTGGACTTGACCTATACAATATAAACACACCACTTCCTTAAATCTCTTCCAAGCTCTGCGAGCTTCAAGCAGTGTTTACATATGCAATTATAGCTCCCTGTCCTAATACTTGACTTAGGTCAGTCAACAAAATGCTTGAAACATACACTGCAGACTCACGGCATATTTATGTTGGCTTATATATTAGCTGAAACTTGTTCTAAGAAGGGTTGGGGTTTAAACTTTTCCCTTTTTCCCCCCATGTTGCATTTTTAAATGATTTATCTAAAAAAACACTTCTGATATCATCCCACCTAATTAATAATGGTTAACATTGCTTTATTCTGATAATCAATTAATTGATAATGTATTTTGCTTAATTTTGACAATACTTATCACAGTTCTTATTTATGGGGAGATTGTGATCGTAAATCCATTACTGTACAGTGCCTTCTTATTCCAATAATTTAGACTTCTAATTTATGGGGAACTTGTGATCATAAATCCATTACTGTACAGTGCTTCCTTAGTCCAATAATTTAGACTTCTAATTTTTGGGGAACTTGTGATCATAAATCCATTACTGTACAGTGCTTCTCTCATTCCCATAATTTAGACTAAACAGAGCATTTTATATTTTTGACTTCCAATATCAAAAATCTGGTGAAATTTGTTCTAAAATTACCTTAAAATTTTTATTTTCAGATTTCACATCAATGGCATAAACACAACAGGACAGTTGGATGGGGATGTCATATACAGTGCTCACTCTTACAATAGGAGTTGTCTGGGATAGCCAGTTTTAAACCTTTGCGCAGCAGATGACGTCATACGAGACTAAGATTACATGTGAGATTTTGCGAGAAGTGGGGTTAAAATATTCCATTTCGACTTCACTTGCAGTCGTGCACAAGCCTGTGTTGCAGGGCTGAATGTCCTAAAACTTGGCGTTGACATGTTATATAAGAGAGAGCAATGTAATGGTAAACTATTTTTGCTGTGCTGTTGGTTGCAATTCAGCTGTATCGAAGAAGGGAAACCTGAGAAAATACCCATGGATGGTGGACGTGAGTTTCCACTCCTTTCCACACAAGGTTCAGGAATCAAGAAATATGCCATGACATCAGGCATGGTAACCGGCGGTATATTAGTCAAATCAAGAATAAACGTCTGTCCAGTGAGTCCCTTTAAGACTTGCCCACTGCTTGGCAGAGTCCTCCAAGCAAGCTCAGCTTTGCCGGAGTCATCAGCCTCTACTACTGGAAGATTCAACATGTCTGCTGCACGTGCAAGTTCCCTTAGTGTTTCTACTCTATAACTTGAAAAATTGACCAGTCTCTGACTCAAAAATTGAGTTAGTTCTGCTTTTTTCCAACCAGAAAAATCGCCGTCTTTGTTCCGCGTGTTCGCCATATTTTAACCCCCATCTTGAACTGGATCTCGTACAATCTCACACCAAATTTGTATGCTGGGCGAGATTTGGTCCTATCCCGGACAACTCCTATTATGAAGTGCCCATACATTTGCCAGGGGTGTTAAATAATGTTAGAAAATCTACCACGAGACCAAACATTCTATCAGTTGTGGGTCTGGGACCCGCTTTCAGCTCCATTTGAATGGAATTAAAAATCAGAGAAAACCATGCATCTGTGGAAAAGTACATGTATACATATGGCTGATGACCACAGAAAAACAGATTCTTCCCATCTAAAGCTAAGTCTCATTATCACCAAAGAGGCTGATATTAGTAGTACGTGGCAACAAATATCTTCACAAAGTCAAATGTGGTGTCCTAGAAATGTGTGTGCTGGAGCCACTGAAGGAGGTTATATTAAAGTTTCCATCCACTGATTGGCATTGGTTTGTCTTTTTATAATTAATGGGCATTGTCCACTAATCATAAAGAGAAAAGTCACAAGAAATCTATCTCAAAAAGTTTCTCACAAATTTTGATGACATTTTCATGACAGACAGGCTTCCAAAAGGATAAAAAATGAAATTTTAATGTTGACCTAAACCAGGTTCCCTTATATTTTTTAATTTGTTTATCCCTTTTAGTAATTAGTCTTTTCCTTGGGAAAGGTCTGTTTTATATAAAAATTGGGATTTTTGAGTGCTGAATGTCACATCTGTATAGATTTCAACTGAACCGCCTGCTCCGTTACACAGTAAAATCACCTACACACGCAGGGTGCACACAGAAGACCCGCAGGGTGCTTGTAATCCAAAGTCAAGCCTCACATTTAATAGAAGTGAAATTTAAGACTTGTTAAGAACCACCAACTGGGCGACTTTCCTCCTGAATAGAAAGGGCTGGACTCAAAATCTTTTATGTGAGAAGCAAAGGGGATTTGTACTGTCAGTATTATGTGTATGTACAGCATCTATTTCGTAATAGACAAAATCCGAACTGGAAACTCAGTCTTTCACAAATGTGCACCCCCCCTCCCCTATTTTCAAGAAACCAAGGAGAAATTTGCTATCTGTTTATCTACAACTTCTCTTCAACATTTATCCAGATTTTATGAAATTAGACTCGATAACGTTCCTCTCAATGTAGTGTTCAGACCTTAAAAACAGTTGTACTAATATATATGCAAACTTATTGCATACTGATACATTATTGATTTTTCCAGATGGTAAAATATGTAAGCAATTATAAATAATTTTAGTCAAGTCAGTGACCTGGACTTTTTAATGAAACATGAAAAGATAACCCCTAGAATCATCTTACTAGTATGTATGTGTGGCATTGGGTTAAAATTCTTGATGTTTCTGTGGCCGAAGAAAATTATATCATTTATATTAAAAAAACAAGGCTAACTATTTCAGACCAATTTCTTTTTTATCTAAGTCAATTTTTTCAGACTAATCTTAAATTGCAGAAGACCAAATTTTTGCTCCTAAAGTTTACATAATTTTTTTCCACTTTTCTTTCATGAAACCGTCCCCAGCAAAGGAATCAAGGGAAGTGGTAAGCTCTCCCTTCACACGTTTTTCTGTTCTTTATCATCAAAGTTCACTTAATTTGAAATGGCCCCTTCGCCTCAGAGGCATAAAGCACAGGAAACTGCAGGGCATGCCCAGGCGACCCCACAAGTTTACAGAGTCAACCCTTGCCATTGTGTTCAATGCTTTCTTTGTCCAAACAAGGCCTTCTCCCCCTCAACATTAGTACAAGTTACACAATGTGCTTCCTCTTAGCGCTGACAATGCCACCGTGCTTGAATGTCACACGGAATGCTCTCTCATTGCATGTGCGTGTGTGGGCGAGGAGAGGAAGAATGTATGTATTTTTGTGTGTCAGAAGTTGTGTGTGTGTGTGTGTGTGTGTGTGTGGTAGAGTGTGTGTGGAGACGGAGAGATTTGAAAAATCCTAAATAAAGCATTCACTGAATGTAAAAAAATCATTAGTGGTCATGAAAAATAAAAATCCTCAGAAATCCTGTTTTTTTTTTTTTTTTTTCAAACTTACACCTACTCGAATCAAATCAAATGAAAGCAGTTTCCAAACTCCAAAATTTTGTGATTATAACTCTAGAGCTATAGCATCCACAATATATCCCCACTCCTTAATATAAGCCAATGTTAATTGTATAGTGGTCCAGTGTGGGGATTATCTCCACAGAGAAATGGGAAGGGCACTGCTCTATGTGTTTACTGTTGGTGTACAGTGTGTTTTGAAAGGCATTGAGAAAGGGAACCCCATTCAGGGTTATACGGTAATTACTTGACATTTTCAGATTCCCTTCTTTCTCTTACATTGTATGTGTAAACAGTAATTCAAGATTTATCATTTCATTTTCAGACCTACACAAGAATGTACTTTCTCACACTTTTCAAAACATTTTAATTAATAGCGATGTGTTACTTACATTACTTATTTTAAGGGAAAATTATATATTGGTGTTCAAATTTTTAGAGTAATGATGTTTTTACCAGTGTTGAAGCGTTGGCTAATTATAAAGCCTTGAGTTACTGTAGGTCTGATACATCACATGTATCAACCTTTGAAAGAAATGAGGACAGATTGGGGGGGGGGGGGCATATTGCAACTTATTGAAGTCTATAAAATATCTCACTGATGGCTGTAAAAAGGAAAACACTCTTCATCTTTTTAGTCCACCCCCCACCCATTTTCTGTTGACAACCCAGGCCCTCACCTTTTCTTCCCCACTTCTCTATTTTGGCTCTAATTCCCTCTCCTTGTTGTCCCCCTCTCTCTACCTCCCACCAACTCTCTCCTTTTTTGTTTCCCACTGTTCTTTTCTTTCTATTTTTTTTTTTTTTCTCTCTTCACAGCTGCAAATGATCAATCAAGAAGCTCTGCGGGAGAATTAAATGTAGATCCCAACAAAAATCTCATCTTTCTAATTGCTTAACCCCTTTGTTTAGAAAACATTTCTTCTCACACATTAAAATAGTTTGGGAAAAGGAGTACATGTTCACTGATATGGTGTGCTATGGTAAATACTTACTGGAAATTTTTGAAGTATTTTGTAATTTTTTTCCTTCTATTTTTCTTTTCAAACATTAAGCATTTGAAGACACAGCAACAGGTAAACCAACTTTTCAATCTGCATTTTTTAAATTAATTTGTCTCATATTATTTTTAATGTAATCAATCTTCTAAAATATCATTCTTTTTCATAACAATGTAAAAAAGTGTACTGTGTTGTTTTTTTTTCTTTTTTTTTTTTCAAATTTATCCAATGTTTTGATTTTCTAAAAACATCAAGCATTTATTTTCTTTTAAACGCATAAAAAATCCATTCTATAGGTCTCTAATAAACAGTGTACTTTTTGTGAAAAAGTAAACTTTAAATTAAAAGGTGTAAAATTTGCGTGTCTCCATTTTCTGAATATAAACTTCAATTTGCCTGGGGGCTGGTATTTTATTTATAATCATTAAATTAGTATTACAACACCTGCCTAACTCAGATCCCTCAGCCTCCCTTCAATTTTTGACAAAAAAAAAAAAAGGGAAAAGGGCTTTTCAAGTTGGCTAATCAAAATACAAAATGCTCATCCCTGTAGGTGAAGCAAGGTAGTACCAGTTCACTAAATGTATCATATTCAAGTGTCTCCATCAGGATTTCCCCAGTAGTTCTCTCTGACACCTGATCATACACAACTTTTCATGTCCAGACAACACGTCAGAGCAAGAATAAAGAAACATGAGACACGCTATGTCAGACCTCTAATTTGTCTGTCAGAATTCTAGCGAATGTTACACTTTGTCTATTGTACTGCTATGTCCAATAGTGGCAATTTTCGATAATTGTTTGAATTGGGATTTGCCTGGTTTAAAAAAAAAATTGAATTTTTAAAACCCCCTAAAAGGAAACCCAACACTTGCTGTGTCAAACATGTAATTTGCCTGTCAAGTAAGCTGTCAGGATGTCTCTGTTGCAGGTTTTAAACTAGATGTTGCCTAGAAGGCTTCCATTATTGGGCCTTTTTGTATACACACAGCAACAAAAGCGATGGCCTCAAGAGAGACACAACGGTTGGTCGCATTCTACTTTGTTTTAAGTGAAACTGCTTATGAGCAATTCCAGATCAGAAAACTGACACGTCTTTTGGGAGTGAATGTCCCTGTACAAGCTGGGAATATTTCATTAAAGAGTATTTTTTGTGATTATTGGGGAAGATGGAACCTGTAAATTTCTTGTAGACCTTTGTGTTTTCTAAGAGCTAAGGCTCATTTTAGGATAAAACTTTAGAAAGCACAGCTTTCAGCTACAAATTGCTATCTTAACAAAGATATAATAGACCAATAGAGTATAAACATACATGGGACACTGGTGACAATGAAACATGTATACATTGATATACCCGTGTGCGTGCATGCGTGCGTGCGTGCCTGTGTGTGTGTAATCTAGAAAAGATAAAATACATTCTTGAAAGTGGATTCAAAGGTAAAGAATAGACGAGTTCTAAAACAGCCCCTACTCACTGAGCTGTCAAATTAACTTACATATTTTTTAAGAAGTGAAGGTTTGCAATCAATCATCCCATACCTATGGATAGCCTCGATAGTCTCATCACAGTTTTTTGTAAAAAACAGTGCTAGTCGCAGCCATCCGCTGTTCCTATTGGTATAAGTTACCAACTTCAGCATAATTGTCCACTTTCACAAATTCCTTCAAGTCATTTCTACACCATGCATTCTTTAATTTACAAGTTAACAACTTAATTGGGTATTTGATGGCATTTCTAACTCTACAGAATAAACATAAGAATAGCCATACCTATTTGTTTGAATTTTATTACTTCATGTTATCATGCTCTGCATTGGAAACCAATTGTTTTAGTCATAATTATCATTTTTATTCTACTTTTATTCTAACTAGGGACATTTTGGATATGACATTTTTTATGGCTATATCCTTATTTATAAAGATACTTTAAAAAAAAAACACTTAAAGAAACCCTGTCAAAAAGCTTCTATGGAAGTCTTTTTTTTTTTTCTCCATTCACCACATTTTTTTATTCCAAGGATTACACTTTAAGATACACTGTCTGTGGACCCTTATTTATAAAAAGACTAATAAAATAATGATAAAACGTTGGATAGCATAGTTCTACATCACTATTTAATCCAATTTCAAGAACTGAACTAAGTTTGGCTATTTATGCATCAGTAAATTCAATTCCATCTTTGAATTGAGAGTGACAAAAAATATTGCAAATGGTGCCTTGACTCATGAGTATTGGTCCTCCCTTACCCTTAAAGTTTAACAAAGCATACTGGTCCAGCATTTCTCTCTCTCTCTCTCTCCCTCTCTCCCACTAACACACACATCATTAAACATACAGGCAACATTTAGGGTCAACGTTGTCAAATGATTGCACTAATAGTGTAAATACCTGTATTTACATGGCCTCTACGTACTGGCTCTTACACTTATAATTTTTTTGTTATTCCTCTGAATTTAAGAGCTAGTCCTATATACTAAAAATAACTACTAAGCACACAGCATCGTCTGGAGACGAGTAAATAGTGCTAACGTATAATATTGGATCTCTATACTGCAGATTCCGTCGAAGTTAGGCTAGATATAAACTCACGTGTGTCCCCGCGGATCTCTCTTCAAGCTCGCTTAGACACCTCGCCTTACATCTCGCTTCCCTTAAAACGCTGTCCTCAGGATTAACATATCTCCCTTCATTGACACTTCCCAGTATCAAAAACACTTGTAACAGGCCGCTAACGAGCGACATTTTTGTAGAAAGCTCGTGATTTTCGGTAATGCATCTTCCCTAAGCTTCGCTGTCGTCCATGAAACTGACAAGCTTACCAAGTCTATAAATAGTAACGGTATTTTGATTGGTCCATAAATTGGACTCTTCCAAATGCGGGAGGCAAAGGTTTTCGTGTTACTATCAATTTGCCTGGGGACGAAAAACACTTTTTGAGTCGTGAATTAAGGGCGGATCCAGGATTATTTGAAGGGGGTGGGGCGGTCCACGGATGCGAATCCGACCCCCACGCACACACACACACACTTGGCATGAGCTTCGGGGCCCGCTAAAGGGCCCCGAAAAAAATTGGTATTTAAGAGGGCGAAGGGTGCCATTTGGTACGGTTTAGAATAGGCCTATATGATTCAGCTAGTCAAAATTTTAATTTCAAGAGGGACAAGAAAACGAAGGGAGATGGGGGGGGGGGGGTGCAGGACCCCCACCCCCCCATCGAAATCCGCCACTGGTTTTGCCACCTGGGGATCTCAAATGCATTACATGGTGAAGTTTATCGAGGCCGGTTAAAACTGTCGAAAATGTTTTGTTCTTTGTTCATCTATATTTTTTTCACTTAAAATGGAATAATCTTGACCCAAAAGTCTGTTTACTGAACCAATGCGCACATAGACCCTATTTCACTATACATTCCTTCAATCTATCAAAAATAAAGAAGTAAGTAGGCCTAATGTAGAAACGATAGGCCTACTCAGCAAATGCACATCTTGTAAAAATTAACACAGAAAGGCAGATAAAGGGTTCTCTTGTTTTTAAAGAATTTGAGAGAAGCAGAATATTTGTAAATAATAAAATATAGCATAAATGTACTTCGCAAGTGAGATGTGCGTCGCAAGCAATGAAGGAGCAAGTGTCCTTTGCGTGTTGAGTACGGCGCACACTCTCACAGCTAACGAACAAATCAAAAGCACGGCAGGAGTGCGTCGCACGTCATCCCCACGCCAAGAGTATAAAAGACGTGCTCACGACGCACGCTCGTGTCTCGGCAATGTAGCGTCGAATGTGCAACGTGCACAACACTTTTCAAAAATGTCGAATTTTGCTCACTTCAGATTCCGATATGCCTCCAAAAGGAGAGGAAAGAAGCTTAGAGAGCAGAAAAAAAGGGAGGAGGAAGATGAAAGAAGGGGAGAACAGGAGGCAAAACGGACACAAGTAGCAAGACAAACACACAAGTAGCAAGACAAAAATGAGTACAATTTCCACGGCCATCGCACCTTGCAATCCCTGCTTGAAAGGACATCTCACGTGGCCCTGCGACTCGCAAGGCAGACTTACGCCTTTCCATTGCAACCTTTCCTCTACGATTTCCACGGATTCTACTGCCTAACCCAAAATTCGCAGGGCACGTACATGTACATGTATGATCCTGAAATTCGTGTGTCCGGTTGTGACCAAGGCTTAACGCATTGCGTTAGGGGTGACACTTTTTTGGGGGAGGAGGGGGGAGTAAAGGGAGTACAGTATTACATTGTGAGTTGGGCTTAAGCAAATGTCCTTCTAAATTTTTTAGCTATCATAATATATTATAATTGTTCAATAGTATAGTTTTTATAATGACATTATAATTGTCATTTTCATCTAGCCTTAGGATGCATACGCTACACTGAATAAAGCTATTATTATTATATAAAAAGGCAATTTATTCTAAAAAAAAATTGGGACAATAATAATAAAAGACCCGTCTTCATAAAATTTGTTACAATGTCTCTCCATTTTAAAGTGGGCTGGTGTAAAATCGTTATTAAAGAAGAGTTTCTAGTGTACCTTTCTGATTCACACTGATTGAATGTTCGGCAATGTAACTTGGTGTGTTTTTTACAAGCTTTTAAAACAACGAAGAAGATTCTAAAGGGATAACATACGAGATTTAATTTCACAATAAACAGTAAACAACTCATTTTACCACCATAACAGTGGTTATCGCAATTATTTTGGAATCTTTGCTTGCCACTAGAAAGTGGACCTTCATAGATGAGCATACCTCCATAATAATTTCAAAGAGATTATTACAAAAGAAATTTTTTTTAGAAAAAAAAATCATGGACTAACTTTGAATGTCGGAATGGATTTATTCAACCATTGGTAAGCAATGGAAAATGTCCTTTACTCCAGGAAAACCCGTCTTTTTACCAAAACGACAATTCTCATACATTTAAATAAACATTTATTTTATCTTGACTTTTAGTTGAGGAAACGACAAATTTAATCAGTAGATGACCCTTGTGAATCGCTTTTGGAGTTTCTATACGATACCTCAGATGTCTTCCACGCATATTGACGGCCAGACTATTTGTTTTTAAAAGTTATATCCTGCAACTAATTACAGAATAAACAAGAGTGATCTAGTTTCAAAAAGCCTGAACTCTTGTGACTGCGATGATATTGAAATATTAAACAAGCAGTTTAACGATCTATGTAAAGTTCTCTGCACATTTCTAAAACTGATCACCAGCAAATATTACTTTTTCGCTGTTAGTTAAATTCGTTCACTTCCATGAAAGCTCGTGTGACGTAACTGTGCACGTTAATCGATAGGACGCTCTTTCAAAGTGTTTCCCCGTTTACTTAGTTTATCAGCCCTTGTGAATGCGATCAAACGTGAACGAATATGGTTCGCTGTTTCAGAGGTACTAGATATATCGTGCGCCTTTGTTTAACTCTGGCAATTAACTCTGTTCAGTTAACTCTGGATATTTCACAGTTTGTACCTTTTTATGTCCCTTTGAGAGGTTAACATATTTCAGGCGTACAGGAAGCAGGTTTTAAGTCTGGGGCTTTATACTTTCAAAATTAATTAGTAAATTAATTAACAGGCCAAGGGGTGTGGTGATAACAAAAATAAATAAATAAATAAATAAATAAATAAATAAACAGAAATATTTGTATGAACTTGGTGCACTTGGATTCGATGTTTTATATTGCTTTCTGTTTAAATAATTCAGTTCTGAATAGCTGGCCAGATATTAGGGCGGACATGCATGTCATCCTGTACATTAATATCGACACGCAAGTACTTCTTTAAAAGGGTGGGCCGGGCTTTATCAATTTTTGAGTCTAAAGGTGGAAAGATGAGTGACTTAATTTTGCAAGATATGTATACATACACGTAGAGAACGAAAAAAACAGACACATATGTGACAACGTTATTAGCTTGTCTTCTTCATGTTGCGCGAGGTAGCAAATACAACTCAGTTATAGACTTTCTTATAATTTATTAACTACTTTCCAGTTGTTGCATGTGCCGCTTCCTTTATTCCTACTTCTACCTCATTCAATCTCTAGCGGCTTTCTCCTCCGTTTACATTATGCACAGTTGTATAACTATCATGAGAGCATGTCAATCAACTAAAGTTGCTCTACAAAACACTCCCCGCTCTTATTCGCTGCATGCTGTCACTTACTAACATTTCACATACAGTATGCATTATAGACAAATAGTAAGGTGCCGTTGCTAGGTAACAGAGACAGCATTTGTTTTTGGATTTATTTTGTACTTAATGTATCTAGTAATTTCAAAGTAAATGATGTCCAAAAACCCACTTTACCCACTTTATTGACTCGGATTAACGCTTCTCAGTCATCGATCTTCCTTGGTACATATGGTTTAATATACACTATCAGGCAACATGTACAACCAAAAATTGTCTAGACGGTAACAATGATAATTGTCAAAATGTTTCATGAATGGTGTCTCAAATTGAAATGGTAATCACTTATCTGATACCAGCCAAATACCACTTGTCTGATACAGGTGATTTGATATGCAATTAATAGCCTTCATACAGTGTTGTGCATATATACAAGTCGCTCTTTTGGAACAAAAAATTGACTTAGGAATAATCCCACTGTTATTGTTCAGTTGATACAGACGATTCATGCCAACACTATTGCTCGTCTGTAACAGGCAGTTCACACTGGAATAAATGCTTCTACTCATCATACCACCAATAGATCAGCTACGCTCAGCTGAGATTTAGTTGAAGCCAACGGGGCGAATCTTCATCTCTGTCGTCTTCAAGGAATGGGAGTGACCCCTGAAGCCATGCCAGTTGACGCCCTGTGCGGTTGCGCCGTGGTGACCTAGAAAGTACATGCCATTCAAATTGGAAGAATGGCACGAGGCATACCACCAAGCTCCCTTGTACATCTGTGCGCAGTTATTTGCATGTTGGTCGTTATCTCTGTCCTTGGTGGTAAAATCTCGTCCGTTGTGCCAATCCAACGAATCGCCTTGAGAAGAAAAGGGAATAAGCGCAATAATAATAATAATTTATTAAGATTGCAACCCAGTGAATTGAAGTTGTACATAAAATGATAAGAACATCTCAATAATAAAAATAATTCATATGTTTGAATAAAATCAAGTTGAAAGCCTGCTACTTGAACTTTTAAAATCACTGTACATAGGATAAAAGACTACTTATCACTATTTGGAATATAACAGACTTTTAAATCTTGAAAGATTTAAAAGATTTAAACGCGAATGGTACTGATTTAGACAGACTGGTAGACTGATTATGATTGTGTCAGTGTATATTAACACAGGGAAATCCACAGAAGGACCTTGCCTCTAGAGTAGAATGGGGTATTTTGCTTTACTGACAACATAAATATCAATGTATTAATAGCTTTATTGATAATTATCGGTAATAGAATATTGATAATTAGTCCTGTTTCACTGTAATTATTCCTTATAGCCTATATCATTAATCGATCAGCCATCAAGCTTAGTGTTTATTTTATACTTATTTGCTAATAAAATCTGCAGAAAGTACCAGCGTTTCCTGAGTAGGTTCCAATGGTCAAACGATAATTTGTGTCCTCTGCCGAGATGGCAAAGTTGTCATAGTGTGCGTATGACCAGACACCGTCCGCGTCCTCCATATCCACACGCAGCTCATAGCTGTCTTGTTCAATTAGATGGTGGATCTTGTCGTTGCCTGGAAAGACAAAAGGCACACGTTTAAAAATTTTTCATCAGTTTGGTAGATGATGGAGATCAATAGGTCTTTTTCTCACGTTACAAGTGACAAGTTTTACTAAGTTTAATTTGTGACAAAAGGCGTATTGATTTCTACCAAGAGACGAAAATGTCGGTCTAGTTGTTTCTTCCGACAAAGAAGGTTGGTCTTTCATAGGCGTTGATTGGTGTGTTTGTATATGTCGCATTTAATACATTTCTTCATAAATTTTGATAAAATATTAGAGAAAAATTGGAATCCAGAAGTACATGTACAATTTTATACCTTTTTCGCCTTGGATTTGCCTCTTAAGTTCAAAAACAGTTTTGACTGATCGCAATATTCATCGTTTTAATTTTCTAATTTTTATTAATTCATTTTGCCAGGCGAGTGCTGAGAATTGACTTAGTTTAAATAACAAACAAATTTAATTTTCAATTGACAAATCCACCCTCTATACTATACTTTTGTTAAAATTTTTATTATTCTACCTAGCCAATGTTCTCCGTCCAAATTTCCAAAGCCAACCTTATAATCCTGCCAGTCCCTGTAGAAATCCTCGGAACCGTCCATACGCTTCTGAAACAGCTGCAAAAATACATGAAGCATACATAATATGAAAATCGACGAGAAACGTTTATAATTTTTTAATATATATACTTTATTTTTTTAAAATCAGATAGTTATTTTTTAATAACCCCTTTTGCTAAGAAAATCACACACATACTTCAGTACAGGCGCACAAACACACACACGCACACACACACACACACACACACACACACACACAGAGTGACATATTAACCTTCACCCATGGATTTCTCACATGACCACAAGCATGCATAAACAGAGCCTTACAGTACGGCTAATGCATATGCATACGAAATGGCAAATGTTAAAATTCTCATGTACAGAATAATAAAAAAAAACATGCCGTCCATCCTCCTCCGTCAGTAGTCATGTCACAGTAGACTTCAAAGGAAGCCGAGTTGTCTGCCAGTGTAATCATGTATACTCCACTACTAGCCACACCTCTCGTATAAAGCTCTGCGCAGTCCCTTCCTCCTGAAAGTGATATCACTATTCCATAGCTCACACACGAGACTAAGTTCGTTTTGTTTATAATATATAGGGAAATTAAAAGTTAGCAATGCCACTTAGAGATTTCACTTTTTTTTATTTTCAGGCAATTGCATGCTCCGGCGTGGTCTAGATAGTCTGACGGTCATGGAACTAGTTAAATACAATTATACATATGTACAAGTACATGCATATCACTATACAGCTGTATATATCATTGTTTCTTTGTTTCTATCAGTCCTGATTGTTCAAGTCCACGGCCATTTTCAGTAAATGTTTTATTTTAATTTCGATTCATTTAAATAATCCGCCCCTTTTCGGCCATCGACGTTGCTAAAAATTAAGGAAAACGAGGCTACAGATAACAATTTTCCATCGGATTTTTATACCATTTACTTTGATGATGTAGGAACAATGCTGAAATATTTTGAAAAATCCGTCCGCTACTTCAATGGCAAGTTTTATATAGGATTCTGGTCCAAAATCATTGTGCGAAACCACTTACATTATACCATTGCTGTCACAAAAACGGAAAGAAAAGAAAAGAAAAGAAAATTCAAATAAAAAGGGTAGTCGATAAACAATAAAAAACGTTTAAAGATTAAAAACCTTACCGTTGGTAAAGTTGACGAGGACTGAAGTCGAATTCACTCCATAAGGTCTTGAGTTTGCTGACGTCATTCTCAGTGTGTAGACTGAACTCCTATTTAAATTCGTCACAAGTGTCGTCACATAATCACGGTGTCCCGGGTCTGCCATGATCATTTTTATTTCGTAGGCACTCTCGTTTGCGGTGCGTTCTTTAATATCTAGGGTAAAGATTTGGTCAAAACCGCCATTGTTTCCTGCTACCCACGTGACCACTGCGGAATGCAGGACTGTCGTGTTCACAGACACAATCATTGGTGCATGTGGCGGACCTGAGGAGAAATGGTAATGCTCAAAAAATTAACTGTACACTTTATATGAAAAAAAAAAAGGTTTCACGTTGCTTCCAGTATAAAGACGTGAAAAGTTAATTCGAAAGAAGTATACATAACAAGAGGTGTTTTGTAACCGTGGCTATATACGGATCACTTTTTTCGGATTCAGGGGCGTTTTTCGGTCAATTGCGAGTACTCCGTCTGGGTATGTAATTGAAATGATACACTGTCACATTGTTCTGGCATATATCGCTAGGGTGACAGAGTATTTCCTCAAACAAATCGTACATAGTTTCTTAAGAGGCCAAACTTGAAACTGAACCGCGACCAAGGGCTGCTACTACTCCCCCCCCCCCTCCCACTCCATTTCCAATATACAATGACATCCTCACGTCTTTGATCTCCCATCAACAAGTCAGTCATGTGATCAAAGTCCTTTGATGATACAATGTAGCTGCAACCGCCACGCATGCTTCATTAATAAAAAAACACGTTAAGTCTCTTTAAATACGATTTACTTATTTATTCACCAGGTTCTGGGTATACTTACACGTACATTAGAATAAAAAATTGGCGTTCTGGTACATACATATTTTTTTCAATCACAGAGATATGTTTTCTTTTTTTAATCTCTCACTGTGTACTGTAACTATCATTAGGTTTTCTTTAAGATCCAAGAACGCTGTTCCCCATATTTATCATTTATATTTAACAACACTAATATTAGTGCTAGCTTACATATGTTAACAACATGCATAAGTCATATAATAGGGACAGAACAGTTTAACTCACCGATAATAAAAATATATAACAAAAAAATTGAAATGATGCATGGTATCGGTATATCAAAATCCATTAAAAAAAAGTCAAACCGAAATATATCCTAAATCAGCAAGGATATTTAAACCTTTGAACTCTTGGAGTCATTAAAATGGGGATGCAGTTTCTTCTGTATATCACCAAGATCTCTTACCTAGCTCAGGATTAAGATAAACCCAGTCATTGGCGTCAATGGGGATGGTGTCAGCATCATCGTAGATCGTCTTGTCGTTAATCTCACATGTGTGACTTGCTTTATGATAGTTTACAGATACACAGGTAGCTGGCCCAAGCTGCAGACAGAATAGCGTGCATTGGGAGCGAGATTGCGCTTGAAGCGTAGCGGATAGTGCGTCGTTGAAGACGCCGTTTGCCAATTTGAACCCATTCTGCATCTGAAAGAACCCATCTTGGAACGAAATACCAGTCGCTGGATGCAGTGCACAGAAAAATAGTAGGCACAGGGTACGAAACGTTGTATTCATTTCCATTTTCGAGCATTAAAACCCATTTAAACGTCTTTCGTCTTCTCTAACAGCGTTCAAAATAAACGCTCAATGCAATCATGTGGTACTTATTGACTAGGTGAAGCGCTGAGCACATAAACGGAAACAATCTACCGGAAGTTTAATAAAGTCGTACTGGTTGATTTCTAGAGGTCAGCATATTTGTTTTTAAAATAGCTCAATGGATAACTAAATTGCCGATTCTTACATTTGTTTCTTTGGCAGAGATCTGGAGTCATCGACGACAACACGGGTATTCTAGCTATCGGTGCCACAGATCAAACGCTTTTTGACAATAGACAGATAGATAGATCTTTCTTTTCAGGGGTATGGTGTGGTATAAAACAATATACATGAGTTCTGAACAACTTTTCAACCGAAATCAGAGATAATATGTATATGTAAGTAATAAAAAAATACAACAATTAATATTTAAAAAATTGCGGAAACCACCAGGCAATTTTAAAATACAATAAGTAAGAGTTATTTTATTGGACACTGCATAAGAAAAAGTGGAAGATGACGTCATAATTGATGTTATTCAATCCTATAGCAAATAAAACTATCCTTTAAATCTTGATCACAGTTCTTGATATTGAGATAATATGATTTTAACTCGGACACTAAAGTAATTTCTGCACATTTAACATACCGGTATCTTAATTAACAATTAAAGTTCACAGAAAAAAGTTTGGCCATGAAATCACTATTATGAAGGTCAGTACACTGTTATCCCAACAATAAGCAATATCTCATCTAGGCGGTTTCAGCTGGAGCAGGTATAGAAATAGTTTATAATGAGTCGAAGATGAACAGCTTTAAATACGCCTGTGGCGTCTGTGGTTACAACTTGATTAGGCATGAGTGAGCGTGATTTAGACATGTTACTTCGCTGTGGCTGAGTCGAAACAATTGGAGTGGCACTTTTTTTGATATAGCATTTTGGTCACGGTGATAATGATACATCATCATCAACAACAACAACAACAACAATAATAATAATAATGAGTATGATAAGTATAAAAATAATTGTGACAATACTAACTTCAACAACGCGGGATGTTTGGTGCCTTTTAGTTGTCCATTATATGTTACACTGTGCAAATAATGCACGCGCTATTCAAATTGATTGTCACGTTAAAGATATACGCCCATTCTCGAGTGATTGACTGAATTGATCGACTCACAGGAATTAACCGAACTGTCTTCCAAGAAATACGTGTATGTTTGTTTTTGTTCTGAGACTGTGAAACACGAAAACAAGCAATTTGTATCCGATCAAAAAATATATTGAAGCACGATTTGAACGAACAAAGTCTTTCCCTACCAAAGTGTGTATACAGTCCTGCGTTATATTGCAGCATGGTATGGGACATTTACTTTAACATAGGATTAAAAACACATTAAAGGACGTTGAAGGCAGCTTCACAGTGCATAAAATAAAAACATCTAGAAGCTCTGATGTGTTGAGAGCTTTGCATGTGCACTGGTGCCTGACTAGTCCATTTGGTTGTATTTTACACGTAGCGCAGTTCCATGTACGGACATATTTCGTTTTTACTGTACACGTAGCTTGGAGTTGCTTCAGGGAGGCGCTGCCTGTACATAATAAGGATATACGATAGACAAAGGATTCAGATGATATTCATACTGGGGTGACTATCAATAGAGCTACAGTAGACCTTGACGTGCCATTCTTATGAAAACAGGTATGACATTTTAAAGGTTTGAAGAAAATGTGCTTTTCTTAAAGATTTGATCTTTAAAAGATCTTCTAAGACTACTATATATTGATAAATTATTCCAACTACAATTTTTTTCTAATCTTAATATAGAACCTTGTGAGTATGATATGCCATATGCCATTCCAATGTTTATAAAATACAACAGACTTGACATTTAACATGGAATATTTCCCCCAAATCATAATTCATCAGATTTTTTCCTATTTTGCTGACTGATATATGAAAATAAGGATTAAAATCGTGTTTTAAAAACTTATGATAATCTTTCTGATATCATTGGGACATCATTTCATTAATTGAATTCGCCAGTGAAGCAAACAAAAATACATTGCCTATTTTATGTCATAAGACAACCATTGAAAGCGATATTTTGGATCTCCATGTTTTCCAAATTATTCTTAAAAAGAATTACACGCCCCACAAAGGCCCCTCATATCAGTGTCTAGTCACAGCTCATCTTGCTGCTACCAGAGCTTTCAAGCGGCAAGGCATTCCTTAGGATAAGTTTTTAGAGTTTAATCTGGGATAATATTCGAGGCAACAGTTAAAACTTGTCCAGTTTGGTTCAGTTTTGTTGTAGGACAAGCAGGCCGTTGATTCGGCGAGTAATGACCCACCCACATGTTGTCTATGTGGTTTAAATATGCCGATTTTGATGACCATGGTAGCTGCTCATTCCCTTGGTTCTGTAAGTTATCTGCTATTAAAAGTGCTCTGTGTGAAGCGGCAATCTCACCGTGCAACTTAAAATTGTTCCTAAGGTGCCCCCATCAAATGATAGTCAAGTGGTTCCCAGAGTAATCCTTTATTTGATCTGGTTCAGGTTTTCATCGATGATTTCCAGAGTCCATTAGTGATTTGGCACCAATGAGGTGTCCACTACAAATATTGACG